CCCCCCCCCCCCCCCCCCCCCTTTGTTGAACGCGTGCGTTGATAGACACGTTGTTATTTTCTTCTTTATCTTGGGGTTTTGGTAGCGATACATTCGTTCGGCCGAGGTACTCTCCACCGCGATTGAATTCGAGGATTGTTGAATTGTGGACATCCTGTTCGATCGCTCCCATGTCAGGATTGGATAAAACCGCCAAAGTAAACCCAGGTCAAGTGGTTTTGGAATGTTTACACACGTTCGGCAAGTCAACCGTCCACCGTACTTCAATACCAAGACCATGTCACAAACGCCTTTTCCACCAACAACGAATCAACAACAACGCACGGGATCTACACAACCGTTCGCCACTCCCTCGATCCCATGTCGCTTTTGCCACGGTGCCCCTCCTATTGCTCGCTATTCACAACCCGACGCAGACGATTGAGGTGAGCAAGAAGGCGTACTTCAACTCCAAGATTCCCACTCTTTGGTTCAAGGGCGTCACGTTCTACGTGCGGGAGACCGGGGCGTTGAGGTTCGGCATACCCACGATGCACCTGCAAACTCTCGAGGTAATACCTGCGGATTCTTGCGTCTCTTTTGTTTTGTCCACTAACAGCGCAGCGGTGAGGGAGGGGAGCTACGATTTTTCTCTCAGCCATGCGGTATCGAACAGCGTGTGTGTGTGGGAGACACATGATTCAGAAGACGCCGATGCCGGGAAGGTGAGCAAGGGGGAAGAGCTGTGCGTTGTACTGGATCGTCTCAAGGTTGAAGGCACATGGCACACACACCAGCCCAAAGTTGAGAGTCTGTTTTGGTCGTATGGGTGGAACGTCCGGCGAGATGCTCCATTCTCTTGCCTTCCCCTACCCGCACAGGTGATAAGGCTTGGTTTAAAAACTTCGGTCAAAGGATTTCGAGGACAAGTCTTCGGGGGGATAGAGAAACGACAACACATCCCTCCTCTTTTTCTATTGCGCCGTTGCCCTAAATATTAGATGTGGCTTGTTACGCACGAGAAGGTGGCGCGATTTGCGTAATTCCGCCCCCTTCGTCACTTTGTCTGGGCCAAAGGTATGTATCGGCTTTACCAAAAAATGGGAAAAGGAGTAGCCGCCAGACGCTCCATCGCCAAACCGAGAGACGATGATATTTGTCGTCATCGTTGAAACAAGTCCACATAGCTTTTGACATTTTTAAACTGAAGTCGAAGGTAACAGCTTTACTTCGGTCTCCCAACCGTAGCAACACCAAACTAATGTAATCTTTTCGAAAGAATGCTTCGGATTTCGAGACAACCACCATCCCATGCCCGAGAAACTCGCACTCTTAAGGCCGGCGTGGAGGTATACAAAACTGGATCCATGGAGCGATCGTAGGGTAACACACTTCAAAGTGCAAGATTGTAGCTATGTGGTGGCGTGCAAGGAGGCGTTTCGCCGTGTTTTTTCTCGCGGTGTTCATCTCTGGTGCGTACCGAAACGTCGAAAGATGTCAACAGCAGACCAACAACATTGAACTACTGCAGCACCTCTCAACGACGGAAATCAACGGCCTCTCGGGGGAGATTCCGTCCCTCCTACTCTTGTCAATGATGTGCCCTCCTACTCTTGTCAATGATGTGTTCGATCGTTTCTAGTCACGACGATGACAATGACATTTTCGATGCTGTCGTTGTTCTTGGCTCCGCCTGGCAGAGGCAGTCTGGCGGGATCTTTACGGTCGAGCCGCAAGGCTCCCTAGGGCTGTACGCTGACAGTTTTATTCCGTTCCCGGAGGATTGATTCCACGGACGTGAGAATAATGTTGTTGGTGTAGTTGTCGTCGTTGTTGCTGTTGCGACGTCGCTGCGTTTGACACCCGAGTGTTGGAATCGGAAGAGACACAATAGCCTCTCCCGCCTCTTGGTCATATTTTCTCTGCTCCCTGCCATTCCCGCACCTAACTTCACAGTCATTATTCTCTCGCTGAGTGTCTCTTCTCCTGTCCTTCCATCTGCTTGATCTCCGCCTGTCCGTCCATCCGGCTATACCTGTGCCTATGTGTGCCCCCCCACCCCCCCGCGGTGTTTGCCATCGGGGTTGGGTTTTCGTCGCTTGGCAACGACGTTGTAAAACAAGCCAACCCCCCCGGTGTTTGCCATCGGGATTGGGTTTTCGTCGCTTGGCAAAGACGTTGTAAAACAAGCCAATTCACTTCGTGAACTCGGCAACCAGGTTACCGTTTTTTTTTTTT